CGGGCTTTAAAAAGGAATATGCTCTTTTCTTGAAGATTAATATGTCGTATCGATTCGAAAATACTGTTGCTGGAAGTTTATTCCAAAGAGTGGATGTACGTGGAAGAAAGCCCCTTAAAAAACCCACGGTGGAGGACCTTCAATCATCCAGATCGTTGAGGTAGTATTTTAGTTTGTGGCGGGTTGTATCAATGTATCCGGTGTCAATCCGAACAATTCCTCGGAACATCATTAAAGCTTAACTGCAGTTGTCAACGCACCTGTCACACGTGGTAATTACTGCCAAAACATTATCTTATGGGATTATCATACATCTTATGGGAGAGGCCCATGTCGAACGATGGACAGTTGACGGCTGATATAATAGTATTCTACATGTATATAAATAAATGCTATATATATATGTATATATACTTATATATATGTGTGTGTGTGTGTGTGCGTGTGCGTGCGTGCGTGCGTGCGTGCGTGCGAGCGCGCGCGCTACCTTGTATACATTTTTAACTGTACCTACTTTTTCTGCACTATTTATTTTCTCTCTACCTGCCCTTGCTAACTAGTTGTTAAATTAATCGTTGTATCTTTTATTCAAGTGCAATAAAGAATATATATTAATGTATAATGATCATTAAACAAATTCATTTAAAGTTTAAATATGATCGAGCAACATTCAAACATCTTAAACTAACTAACTTAAACCAGTAAGATTATTAAAATGTAAGAGATATAGTTAAGTTTGCACTGTTGTATAAATTTTATAGCATCATTAACTAAAGAAAACAACAGCCAGATAATGATGAACAATCTATTTATAAGTTCAGATGTCATTTCACCTTCACTTTAGCGAGGCGATGAACCGCAGATAAAATTGTTTTTTTTTTTTTTATATTAAATCAATAAGTTCATCAATAAGCCAAGTGTTTTGTGCACTTTATATATATATATATATATATATATATATATATATATATATATATATATATATATATATATATATACCAAGGAAAGGTAAAATATATTTTTTTATGCAACTTAGAATGGCAAACAAGACTATCGCCCTTCTTATGGAAAGTGGTAACCGTCGCCTATAAACATGAACAGTACAATGGACATGACAGAGTATACTATTACGCCCATGATACTTCCCATGCGTTCACTGCCATATACCACCCTTCAAACCGAAACACAGCCATGCAAACAACTGCTTCACAGTAGAAACATAAATGGGACAAAGGTGGCCAAGCAAACGACTTTTGTACAAAGTCTCCCTCTGGTATTTACCACAGAGTTGAATACACAATAAAACACAATTATTAATATAAACCCCATTTATTATCACTTGCAAGTTCCCTTCATAATCTCCTGTGTACTATCACAGTGTAAAGAACTACCAGTCGTCCAACGGCCATATGTAGATAGCAAAGCGTACCGAATTGTCATACAATCGTTCGGACTACCAAAGCCGTTGCACTACTGGTTGTTTGTTCCTTACACTGTGTTACTATTATGTATAACAATAAAATTATCACTATTTACACTATACAAAATTCAATCGACTACAAAATTGGCATGTATTCATAAAAATGTATATTTCAAAATAACTCAGTCATATCCCACTAGTGGGCAAAAGTCTGTACCATTAAACCTAATATTTTTATTCACTGAAGTGGCAAATGGGCATACTGTCCTCGATGGTAGGGAAATATTGACTGTAATATTTATTACCATTCAGGACTTTATGCATAATGTATGTAACAATTTCCTCTTAGTTGCTGTAAGAAATATGTTTAGGAAATACTCAATTGAACAAGAAAACTGGCATTATCATTTCTATCAATACATACCAATAAAAAGTAAAAAATATTAAAAATTGTCGATATGTAATATTCCTATTTATATACTTACAACAACAAAAATACATAAAAAAATATACAAAATTATCAACAGCCATCTTGACAATCTCACATAATATAATATAAAAACATTACCTTAGTTTAATCAATGGTTAACTAATAACTGACGGTTAAAACGGGCTGCATTTATTCTAATCTCCATTGGTTTAGAGGATTTTACCGCGAGGTTGGCAACATCTTTACCACCTGTCAAAACTAATTCAATTTTGACAGATGACACAACTTTGACAGGTCAATTAAATTCAATTAGAACAATTTACATATTTCACAATGACGATTTAAAAAGTGCGCCAATTTCGATCTGTAACATTAATCATTTAACAAGAGTCGTATTAATCTATCACTGGCATTTTAAATTTTAATAATAAAAAAATATTATAAACAAAATGTTAAATTTACCAAATGTCTATTTATTTATTATATATATATATGATTAATTTTTTAGGGCAATTAAGTCACTTTTTCTATAATCATTTGAAAATATAGAAAACGGACAGAAATTTTAGACATTATCACATTCCGGTATGAATGCTGTTATGGGATTACGCGGGAGAACGGCACAGCATGTCTACTGTCTCGCTCTACGAGGACGTGACGCGCACACTGGTGCTGTTACAAACATCTGCCACGTGCTTACAGGCACTGGTATTGTCCTATGATATTTCTTTACATCAATAAATGATAATTATGTCATTAATAAGGGAAAGGTGAATATATTTCTTTCAACTTACTCTGAGACAAAATTTTATATAGCTTTTTTGAAAAAAAAAAATAATGGGCAAAGATATCCGAATTAGACAGTTCAAATATTTGATATGAATAAAATCAAAACTATGTCGAAATTTTATTTTTTATTTTACCGTCAAGTAGGAAAGTCAAACTTTGTATGGTAGAAGAGGCGGGATTATGGAATTATAAAAAAAAAAAATAGTAACCCAGTACCAAAGTCTTGTGCAATAACAATAACCGATTGATGATGATGACGAGGAGATAAATTCTCAATCCAACAGTTTTTGCGCTATATTTTTGCCAATTTACATGATTCTTTTTTTTTTCAATAGAATGGGCTTATATTAGTTGTATGAAATTAGTTTCTTTTTTTCTAATAAATATTAAATTATATTAACATTTCAATACTTTGTCAATGTGATGTGACAGTCATGTTTTAGACCTAATGTGACAAAATAGAAAAATGCTCCCTACACACGGCTGTACAAATGGTGATGTAATTAATGTACAGTTTCAATGTACACCGAATTATTTATATTATTATTATTATATTGAAAATTAAATAAAGTTTTTAAATTATAAATATTGTGAAAGACTTAAGTTACTTAAAATTAGTTTGGACCAATTTATATTAATACATCCCTGTAAATTATAAAGAACAAAAAAACAAACGGAAGTAAATAATCGTATGTTACTAATTTACAGTCGTTAGTAATTAACTAAAATATCACAACAAAATAATCTACAATGTATTATCAATTTATATATCTCGATGTACCGACACATAAGTAACAAAAAATTATATATATATATATATATATATATATATATATATATATATATATATATATATATATATATATGTTTTCAAGACAAAAATTACCAAAGTGTTGACAAAAATTGTATAAAAAATATATGTATATTCACGTCGGCCATACCATTCGATCTCTCTAAGTACCAAAAGTTATGTATCACATTATTGGTATTATTATATATTAAAATTGGACAGTCCTAACATATTGAACAGTGCAATATCTTTACAAGTGAGTGTCTGCTTTTCAAGTTTATAGATTTTATTACCAGACTTTAAACACAGTATTCAATGAATAAAACTGAATCCAAATAAACACATGTCATGTTAGGGTATGATGGCCCTGGATGCATGGACCAGCATGTCTGAATAGGATGAAAGTCCCCGAAAATGAAAAAAGAAATATATATATATATATATATATATATATATATATATATATATATATATATATATATATATAAGTCATAAAAGAACAAAATTTTGATCCTGCCATACAAATACGACGCGATTAAAAAAAAACCTTTTTTTATTATTAATCTTTTAACCAACATTAATAAGTTGGAAATATTTGGAATTATCATTCAATTTTAATAAAAAAAAAACACTTATTTTGGGTGAATGCTAATAATCTCTACTTAAACTGTATATTTTAATATAAAACTCAACAATATACGCTACAAATGTTTATATCTCTGAATCAGGAGTTTTTTTATACCACTGAGTGAACAAACATACGGCCCACTTGATGGTAAGCGGTCACCGTAGTCTGTGAACGCCTGCAATACCAGGGGTATTACGCGCACTTGTCGACCAAGGAGAAACCTCTTTACCCGGGGGGAAAGGGATTGTTAGTAATGGAGACTAAGAATCCTATTGCTAGCAATATACCCAACCATGTCGACCTCCTCGCGGTTCCCCCTGGAAACTATCATGGTTAATTCCTGATGAATTCATCATGATGGGCTAACTGGCCTGTTTTCATTCTCATCTATTACCCTTCACTGGTGCTCCACAAGCGTATACCGTTAGCGCAGGCGGGGTTATCATACCATTTTCACCCATCAAAAAAAAACTCTTTACCCTGTTTTGAAGAACCCCATGCTGTAGTCTCTTGGGAAAACTTCGACAAGGTCTTATTGTGACTTTTATCACACGAATGGTCATTTTGTTTGTTTATTTATTTATTTATTATCAATATTACACTTTCACTTTCGTACGGGCAAAAATTATTACATCTTTTTTTTTAATTTTCCGTTTCGAGACGTTACTTAATACTGGACTCTCCATCTATGTGTACATGATCAACAGACAGAGTAGTTTGTGAAGGAGAGATTTTTCAATTTTTAGGGTTTAACTTCGGTGTTAATATTGTGCCCAGGGTTACCAAAACTGGAGCTGATCAATTTGAAATGGTGTGGTTTTACATATTTTCTATCTCGCTTACACACTGTACTCTGAATTACTTATAATGCCATATTAAACTAAATAATATATATATATATATATATTTATAGTGATTTAAAAAAAATATATTCTGTTATTCATTTTGAATTTATTTCTTTTTTTTTTTTTTTGTTTTGTATATTTTAGTTTCAATTTATTGACCTCAATTCTGTCTTTACATCGTAATCTCAATTCGGGTTTAAACTTATTCATCCTGCCCATCGCTATAGAAAACAGTCTACTTAATAAATCACAATAATTTGCTAAATTTGGCAAGTCTCCGTACCACAGACATAGTAGTAGATAGACGGTGTACACACCACTATTTGTACACTAAGCGTGCCATTTTTTTTTTCTTTTTACTGTTTGTATGAACCCATACGTGAATACCATGTATATTATTTTTGTCAAATCTTTACATTACATTTTATAGTATCCATTTAATTTTGATAAATATTTAAGAATTTAACTGAAGTCTTTTAAGTTTACTTAGAATAACAAATAGTAACAAAGTAACAAAAGACCCAACTATTTGTTTTTTTTTTACACAAGGCCGCCATATTTGTTTTATACTGTCATGTAACCTATATACCTGTATATATAACATTCCAATTAAGAGACTATTGATATCTCTTTTGTCCAAAAATCCGAACATTCCCATTCAATCCAAATCTAGGATGGGCCCGGCCGGGCAAACGGCCCAGATAGGCAAAAATAGTTAACTGAGTTAACGTAGCCATTTATAGGCGGCAAATGTCCATTGTCGTTCATTGTCGTGTGATTGGCACGCAAAGTATAGTGGCGTCATCTATTCAATGTAAGTCAATGCCCGTGCTCCGCGCTTATTGGTCAGTGGTCTCAGTGGACACGGTGGGGCTGACGGTGGGCGTGGTCCAGTTGGCGGCGGTGGTGCCGGCGATGGTCGGCGCGTCCTTCTCCAGCGGTCTAAACGACCAGTTGCCAGCGCCGTCGAATTCTAACACGTGCGTGTGGTATTTCCTGCAATGTTACAATATTATTATTATTATTTCAGCCGTTAACTGTCCACTGCTGGGCATGAGCCTTCCCCATATGGGAAGTTTTGCCAGTAGTCGCCACGCTTGGCAGGCGGGTTGGAATCCGCAGTTTGGCTTTTGGTGATATTTAAAGAGGGACACTGTTACCAATCCCTCCACCATAAAACCACTTTTACGACACTCACGAGAAAGGAAGGGGTGGCACATTCTATGCCAGAACACACATGGCGAATGTAAAATGTTTCCACTATAAACTTAAATTACATAAGGATTTATATTATACTAGTTTTTACTCGCAACTTTGTTCGCGTATATATATTGGCTAAACCGGGATATAGGGAGGAAAGGGATTGTTAGAAATGGAGTTTGAGAGCAATGGGTGCTAGCAATATGCCCTAGTTAGTTCGACCTCTACGTGGTTCCCCCTGGAAACCATCGTGAACAATTCTTGTTGAATTCGTCATGAGGGGCTAACTGACTTGCTTCATCCTCACCTATTATCCTTCACTGGTGCCCCGCCGGTGTATACCGATAGCGCGGGTGGGGTTACCATTCCATTATCACCCATAAAAAAAACCGGGATATGTTTACTGACCGTAGGTATGTGTCCATTTTTATCCCATATAGCACGTGTATACCAAATTTCATAGTGATTAATCGAGCCATTAAGGCTGTATAAGGCAACAAACAAACTCATTTTGTTATTTATAATATTAGTAAGGATTATAATTTATTTACTTTCTTTTTTTTATTGTATTTTGTATTTTTTTTTATGCAGCTTAGAATGGCAAAGAAGCTGACGGCCCACCTGATGGAAAGTGGTAACCGTCGCCTATAGACATGAGCAGTACCATCGTACCAGAACAGAATATACTGTTTCGCCCATGATACCCCCCATGCGTTACCATTCCTGAGGACTCAGTTGTTATTCCTCTGTACCCAGTAAATTCACTGCCATATCCCACCATTCAAACCGAAACACAACTGCTTCGCAGTAGAAACACGAATGAATCAGAGGTGTCCAAGCAAACGAGTTTTGTACAAAGTCTTCTGTTGGGAGCGGTTTAATGAGAACACAGGTATCTGGAGGTAGGTGAACTGACCAGACGCTGGGCCTGTGCGTGATGGATAGCAGCGTAATGCCCTCCTTGACGGCCTCTTCGTACATCACCACCTCCGTCTCCATCGACACCGCGCTCGTGCACTCATCCAGCAGCGCGTACACCGGCCTGGACACATTCGTATGTGGACATCAATTATTTATGCCCATTTTAAAGTCTTTTTCTGGACAACAGTAACACATGTACAATTATTTAATTAATTTAATAGCTAAACAGCTGCAGTGACCAGGTCGATATTAATTTTGATACTCCAATTGTTTTTGTACGAAATATCTATAAATATATAAAATGAGTCGTGCTGCTGGATCTGCTTGTGGATATGGTGGCTTTAGTTGTTAGTTGTCAAACATTTAATAATAGATGTAAGCTATATATATATATTTCTCAGTACTTATTGTTATACACGTATCAATATATGCTGTGTTTGCCTATAAAAAATTGTTACACTTAGTTCTAAGCTCCATAATTGTATATATATATTTACATTATTTTGTGGAAACAATTGTTGGTAAACCTAAATAAATAAATAAAAATTTACGAATGTTTAATAATATACTGGTTATTTGATTAGAATAATAATAATAATTTATTTGCCAGAAACATTTTATCATTTTTTATACAACTTAGCATGAGCAGTACCATGGACATAGCAGAGTATACTGTTTCACCCATGATACCCCCCATGCATTGCCATTCCTGAGGACTCAGGTGTTATTCCTCTGTACCCAGTGAATTCACGCCATATCCCACCCATGAAACCGAAACACGTTTTAAAAGGAACGCTGCTGCCCATCCCTCGCCCTCTCTTAGTCGACTCTTACGACACCCACGAGAAAAGGAAGGCGTGGCCTATTTATTGTACCTTAACTTTGCATGCCGTTGTTTTGGCAAAACACGTATCTTCATAACTGTATACTGTATTCTAGAGCAAATAAATTATTATTATTAATTATTCCGTAATTAATATGTGTGACTGCTAACACTCAATAACTTTTTTTTTTTACAACACAGGAGGCAACCGAGCATGCGGCTCACCTGATGGTAAGTGACTACCGCCGCCCAAACTACTACTAAACTATTAGAAGCTCTACAACCTTCCAAATTAGCAATCCATCTCCGAGTGCCATTTCGTCCACGCACGTGTTGCACCTCTATACGAGGCATCTTCATGCAAATTATTTGATTGTAGCCTAGTAATCGTTCGACTTTCAAAATAAACAAATGGTAAACATGAGCGAACGCGAGTAAAAGAGTGAATAGGCGTGGTCACCTGTGGTAGAACATCCTGGCCATGGCCATACGCTGCTTCTCGCCTCCGGACAACATTGCGCGCCAATCAGCTACAGCACGCAGCCCACCGTGCCTCGCAGCGCATGCGTCCAGCCGTACAGCTCGCAAAATGCGGCGGGCGCGGGCCTCCGCTGCCGCTACGTGCGGCCCGGTGGTCGATACTCGAGCCGGGTACGTCACTTGATCTAGCAGAGAGCCCTCCGGCATGTATGGCCTGAGGGACACACCGACATCTTGTTACACCTTTCCTTTCGTTGAAAATTAGTATAGACCGCGCTATAGAGGACCATGGGCGCGACGTAGGGTTAATTAGAGGAGCATCGCCAATTTATTTAAAAAATATCAATTGCTAAAAACTATAACACAATAACAGAATTACGAACTTTTAAAAACTTTATAATTTTAGGTCTCAAACTAAACAACTAAAACATTAATCATAGAATAAGTTGTTCACTAATCTGTTATTAAAAAAATGCATTAGATGCTACGCTGTGTTTAATTAAATAATTTAATTAAAGACAATATAGCATTTAATCAGTGTTCTGTAAACTAACAACAACAATCATCAATTTAATATGAATTACTTCATGGTCCTTCAAGCCGGATTATAACTGAATGTGTGTGATAACTCCTAGAGTATTTTATAAAACGAGACCCACAAACAACTTCAAATTAATACTATAGATAAATGCAGTAGCAGTACTATACTCTGACATTATATGTCTGGGGACCAGAGGTTTCCATGTATATTGATGACATTATTATACGTGGTAACCTCTGATGTACTAAATGAAGTAAACCCCTTTGCCAGTTTTTTATAATATTCATTATACATTTTTTACCGTCACCGTATCGATCATAACATTTAATAAAATATTACACTAATGTAAATGTCCCATACCTCTGTGGTATGTAGAACATGATGGGCCTGGTGGTGCAGGTCTCGTTGCTGAGCGTGTTGGACTCGTCCGAGCACACGGCGCACTCGCACGGCTTAGGCACCTGCAGCTCGCCTCCGAACACCGGCCACAGGCCGGAGATGATGCGGAACAGGCTGCCGGAACCAATAACATACATTTAGAGCATCGAGCCTCAGAAACAGTTCAACTCTCTGTCAATTTGCTAACTCGTTTCTTATCAGTATTCTATATACTTACGCACATAATGACATATTATTTAATAAATAAAATGAGTGTTTACGTATTAAAAAGATATAGAAATTTAAGGATAAAAATAAACATAGAAGTTATAAAGGAATCACTCATAATTATTCATCACGTAAAATTGCATGAAAAGGTTGACTCGCTTATCTCGAAGTATTTGTATGGAGACACTCTATCTATGTAATCTAATGTTACCAACTATTATGAGCTTTTATTTAACTTGCTTCAATATTAAGTTTTTCTGTTCATAATTTAAATATTATTTTTTTTGTAACCACTTGCCAGTTACCTATTGTGCTGATCAGTGCTATCACAGAAAGTCTTATTCATACTTATCACAAAAAAAAAAGTGAGCTTATGTGCGTGCGTGCGTGTGTGGTGCGTGGGCGTGTGTGTGCGAGTGAGCGTTCATGCGTGCGCGCGTACGTGTGTGCGTGTGTGGTGCGTGTGTGGTGCGTGAGCGTGCGTGTTCGTGCGTGTATGCGTTCAGCGCGCGTACGTGCGTGCGTGCAGGCGTGCGTGTGTGGTGCGTGTGCGTGCGTGTGCGTACCCGCGTGCGTGTGTAGGCGTGCGTGCGTGCGTGTGTAGGCGTGTGTAGGCGTGCGTGCGTGCGTGCGTGCGTGCGTGCGTGCGCGCGTGGTGTGTAAGCGTGCGGCGCGTACCTGGACTTGCCGCAGCCGTTGGGCCCGACGATGAGCAGGTGCGTGTGTGCGTGCGTGCGTGCGTGCGTGGTGTGTAAGCGTGCGGCGCGTACCTGGACTTGCCGCAGCCGTTGGGCCCGACGATGAGCAGGTGCGTGTGTGCGTGCGTGCGTGCGTGCGTGCGTGCGTGCGTGCGTGGTGTGTAAGCGTGCGGCGCGTACCTGGACTTGCCGCAGCCGTTGGGCCCGACGATGAGCAGGTGCGTGTGTGCGTGCGTGCGTGCGTGCGTGCGTGCGTGGTGTGGTGTGTAAGCGTGCGGCGCGTACCTGGACTTGCCGCAGCCGTTGGGCCCGACGATGAGCAGGTGCGTGTGTGCGTGCGTGCGTGCGTGCGTGCGTGCGAGGTGTGTAAGCGTGCGGCGCGTACCTGGACTTGCCGCAGCCGTTGGGCCCGACGATGAGCAGGTGCGTGTGTGCGTGCGTGCGTGCGTGCGTGCGTGCGTGTGTGTAAGCGTGCGGCGCGTACCTGGTGCTTGCCGCAGCCGTTGGGCCCGACGATGAGCAGGTGCGTGTGTGCGTGCGTGCGTGCGTGCGTGCGTGCGTGGTGTGTAAGCGTGCGGCGCGTACCTGGACTTGCCGCAGCCGTTGGGCCCGACGATGAGCAGGTGCGTGTGTGCGTGCGTGCGTGCGTGCGTGGTGGGTGTGTAAGCGTGCGGCGCGTACCTGGACTTGCCGCAGCCGTTGGGCCCGACGATGAGCAGGTGCGTGTGTGCGTGCGTGCGTGCGTGCGTGCGTGCGTGGTGTGTAAGCGTGCGGCGCGTACCTGGACTTGCCGCAGCCGTTGGGCCCGACGATGAGCAGGTGCGTGTGTGCGTGCGTGCGTGCGTGCGTGCGTGCGTGCGTGCGTGGTGTGTAAGCGTGCGGCGCGTACCTGGACTTGCCGCAGCCGTTGGGCCCGACGATGAGCAGGTGCGTGTGTGCGTGCGTGCGTGCGTGCGTGCGTGCGTGGTGTGTAAGCGTGCGGCGCGTACCTGGACTTGCCGCAGCCGTTGGGCCCGACGATGAGCAGGTGCGTGTGTGCGTGCGTGCGTGCGTGCGTGGTGGTGTAAGCGTGCGGCGCGTACCTGGACTTGCCGCAGCCGTTGGGCCCGACGATGAGCAGGTGCGTGTGTGCGTGCGTGCGTGCGTGCGTGCGTGCGTGGTGTGTAAGCGTGCGGCGCGTACCTGGACTTGCCGCAGCCGTTGGGCCCGACGATGAGCAGGTGCGTGTGTGCGTGCGTGCGTGCGTGCGTGCGTGCGTGGTGTGTAAGCGTGCGGCGCGTACCTGGACTTGCCGCAGCCGTTGGGCCCGACGATGAGCAGGTGCGTGTGTGCGTGCGTGCGTGCGTGCGTGCGTGCGTGGTGTGTAAGCGTGCGGCGCGTACCTGGACTTGCCGCAGCCGTTGGGCCCGACGATGAGCAGGTGCGTGTGTGCGTGCGTGCGTGCGTGCGTGCGTGCGTGGTGTGTAAGCGTGCGGCGCGTACCTGGACTTGCCGCAGCCGTTGGGCCCGACGATGAGCAGGTGCGTGTGTGCGTGCGTGTGTGCGTGCGTGCGTGCGTGCGTGCGTGCGTGGTGTGTAAGCGTGCGGCGCGTACCTGGACTTGCCGCAGCCGTTGGGCCCGACGATGAGCAGGTGCGTGTGTGCGTGCGTGCGTGCGTGCGTGCGTGCGTGTTGTGTAAGCGTGCGGCGCGTACCTGGACTTGCCGCAGCCGTTGGGCCCGACGATGAGCAGGTGCGTGTGTGCGTGCGTGCGTGCGTGCGTGCGTGCGTGGTGTGTAAGCGTGCGGCGCGTACCTGGACTTGCCGCAGCCGTTGGGCCCGACGATGAGCAGGTGCGTGTGTGCGTGCGTGCGTGCGTGCGTGCGAGCGGGGTCTGTAAGCGTGCGGCGCGTACCTGGACTTGCCGCAGCCGTTGGGCCCGACGATGAGCAGGTGCGTGTGTGCGTGCGTGCGTGCGTGCGTGCGTGCGTGCGTGGTGTGTAAGCGTGCGGCGCGTACCTGGACTTGCCGCAGCCGTTGGGCCCGACGATGAGCAGGTGCGTGTGTGCGTGCGTGTGTGTGCGTGCGTGCGTGCGTGCGTGCGTGCGTGGTGTGTAAGCGTGCGGCGCGTACCTGGACTTGCCGCAGCCGTTGGGCCCGACGATGAGCAGGTGCGTGTGTGCGTGCGTGCGTGCGTGCGTGGTGTGTAAGCGTGCGGCGCGTACCTGGACTTGCCGCAGCCGTTGGGCCCGACGATGAGCAGGTGCGTGTGTGCGTGCGTGCGTGCGTGCGTGCGTGCGTGCGTGCGTGGTGTGTAAGCGTGCGGCGCGTACCTGGACTTGCCGCAGCCGTTGGGCCCGACGATGAGCAGGTGCGTGCCGGGCGCGATGGTGAGCGTCACGCCGCTCGCCACCACGTCGCACGCCGGCGTCACGATCGGCACGTTCTTCAGCGTGATCGACAGGTCCGTCGAGTACGTCACCACACCTGCACCGCCACGTTACCACGCTCACAACGGCACGTGAGCTCTCGGCTCATCTTATATATACATACAATCTAGTGACCATCGCTTATACACATGAACAGAACACTACAATGGTACCCCTACCATGGACACGCGTTGCCATTCCTGATGACTAAGATTTATGCTTCTGTAATCTATAATTTTGGTGCTAAACCAATTTTACTACTATTTTTGTAATTTGAGTCGATTCATTATCAAATTAATACCACTAATGCCACAATAGAAAGTGTCACACTTTTTTTAAATTTTGTCTGGTCTTCGAATTAAGATATTCAGCATTATGAAGTATTAGATGTAAGCGTAATCCACTTCAAATATTTGCTCTTTTTATTATAACTAATAATCTACACCCAGTAATGTAATATTAATAGAGAAAATTGCACTAAATAAGGTAATATAATAATATCTATATATCGTAGTTAAAATATCTATACATATATTGGCCCAATAATACATATATTAACTATTGGTTATTCAATACATAGTATTAAAAATTGAAAAACTCGTTCGCGATGAATGTAGATATCCGATTGGTACAGACGATATTGCAATGGGTGATCATCGATATCTAGAAGAACTGAATATATAGATATCAGATATTACTTATCTCTACAATTAAGATATTTTTGGAACATTTCATTTTAAATAGTGCAAACATTTCTTTACACCTTTCTTGAGGAGGTTCAAGTTATATTTGGTAGAAAACAAATCGCGGAAAGGACTTCCACAGGTCGATGTTGATAAACTTTTTTTTTATATATCTCGCAATCAAGCTCGCATCGAGCATCGATTAGAATGGGGGTAGGTAGGACAGTAGCAACAGCTCAGTACTGCTAGGAGCTCGAGGTCGCACCGAGCTTCAACCAGAATGTATAGGTGGGACAGTAGCAAGTAGCAGGTGGGAGTGCTCACCCTGCGGCGTGGGCTGTCCGTCGCGGAAGGCGACCTGGAAGGCGCCGGGCGCGGCCTGGGCGGCCACGTGCACGGCGCGGACGCAGCGGCCGCGGGCCACCTCCGCGAACACCGTCAGCATGTCCGACACGCGCGTCGCGTACCCCGCCAGCGTCACCACCTCCTGCAGCCGCCACACCACACCACCACACGTGTCAGTTACAACTAGTGTCCGACCGAACTTTCGGTTTCGGTTTCGGTTTCGGCTAGTTCGGGCCAGAAATTCTATTTTCGGCCTTAGTTTTGGTTTCGGTCAAAAATTTGCCGAAATTTTCGGCCGTGCCGAAACTTTGTGTATGTTTGTGTTTGTGTGTGTCTAACTGAAAGCTGTTTTTTTTTAAGTTTACTTCCAAGAGTAAGTCATCATTTTAACATGTTTGTACATATAAATATATATGACATATATGTTACATACTTTAATTAGCGTTTATTATTACTCTTTAACTATCTGTGTGTTTGTGTAAATAATTGTGTAAAAAATACACTAGATTTCAGTATAGAAGAGAAATTTGAAATACGTTTCAATAAGTTTCGATTTCGGTTTCAGCCGAAACTGAGACCAAGGCCGAAAGTTCGGTTTCGGCTATAAAACTCATCATTATATCAGCCTTTAACTGTCCACTGCAGAACATAATCCTCCCCTTGGGAGATTTGCCAGTCGTTGCCACCACAAACACACACAACCACATAACCACAGTTAAACTTTGGAGATGTTAAGAAGGACGCTGCAGCTCATCCCTCGCCTTCCCATAGTTGACTCTTATGACACCCATGGGAAAGGAAGGGGTAGCCTATTTTATATTCTTTTATGCAACTTAAAATGGCAAACAAACTATTAGTAATGAGGTCTAACAGCCCCATTGCTAGCAATATACCCTATCAGGTCGATATCCACTCAATTCCCTCTAGAAACCACGAGATTAATTTAATTTCTAGGGGGAACCGCCCCCTGGAATCCATCGTGGTTAGAGAAGGGTTTGTTAGTAATGCAGACTACCAATCACATTGCTACCAATATACCCTGTCAGATCGACCTCCACGTGTACCCCCTGGAAACCATCGTGGTTAATTTCAGGTATATTCATCACGATAAATCCAACTGACCTGCGTTTTCATCCTCACTTGTCATTCCTTTACTGATGCCCCGCCAGCGTATACCGACAGCGCAGGGGGGGGGATTACCATTCCATTATCATCCATTGGAAAAAAACGAAAAATAACGTAACAATCCCTTTCTCCACTACTACTTACAGGTTAGAGGAGGTGTGTGTGTGTGCGTGTGCGTGTGCGTGTGCGTGTGCGTGTGCGTGTGCGTGTGCGTGTGCGTGTCCGTGTGCGTGTGCGTGTGTGTGTGTGTGTGTGTGTGTGGTGTGCGTACCTTGTAGCTGGACATGAGGCGCTCGATGGCGTCGGCGGCGGAGTTGAGCAGGTTCCTCGAGGTCGTCATGTACTCGGTGCGGGCGCTGATGCTCTCGCCGCCCTCGCCTGCCACCGGCGGCATCGTCAGTAACGCGCTTACATTATACCATATACATACAGCATCGAGCCTCAATGTCAGCTAATTGTCAAATTAGCTGACTTATTTTTTTATCAGTGTTTTTTTATACAACTTAGAATGGCAAACAAGCTGACGGCCCACCTGATGGAAAGTGGTAACCGTCGCCTATAGACATTAGCAGCACCGTGGCCATAACAGAGTATGCTGTTTCGCCCATGATACCCCCCATGCGTTGCCATTCCTGAGGACTCGGGTGTTATTCCTCTGTACCCTGTAAATTCCCGCCATATCCCACCCTTCAAACCGAAACACAGCCATGCAAACACAATTGCTTTACGGTTGAAACACGAATGGGACAGAAGGAGAAAAATGTTGGGACACTTGATACGACACGACGAACTTATGAACATTATAATAGAAGGTAAGATAGAAGGAAGGAGGGGGAGAGGGAGACCGAGACATAGTTACATCAGGCAGATCAAGGAAGGAGTTGGTGTCGTGTCGTATCAAGAGGTGAAGAGACTCGCTGAAAATCGTAGTGAGTGGCAAAAGCTCCGCCGACAAGAGCGCATATATATATATATATATATATATATATATATATATATATATATATATATATATATATATATATATATATATATATATATATATAATCCATCAAGTCATATGAGCACTCACCTCCGCCACTGGTGCCGGTGAGAATGGGCAGCGCGAGCATCACCATGCCGGTGCCGGACCACACGTACTTCATGCAGAACTGCTCCAGCATCACGTACCACAGCTTCTTGTTGAATACGCCCGTCATCTGCGCCACGAGCTCCTGGTACGCCGACTGCAACTGGCTCAGCTCCACCTGCCAACACGACCAAGCATTTTGTTATAACAACACGAAGTCAGAAATTGTTTTTATTCCCAGAATATAAATGAATTTAGAATATTTTGCACCTTCTCGAGTTTGATCCTCACCATAATAATGCTACCATAATCTTCCATAACTAATTTTTTCTGTGTGCAACTGTTTTAATAATTATATGTTTTAAATATTCTTATGTTATCCACTTGTATGGTTGGTGTCAGTTTTGTTAAAAAGTAATCGATGACTTAAGAGAATGTTGTGTGCATTGTGTGTGTGTGTGTGTGTGTGTGTGCACGCATTTACACCTGATGATGATGCAAGCCCTGTTTATGAAATAAAATAAATTTCTGTATTTACATTGTTGATGTACCTTTTGAAATAAATAAATAAATAGGAAAGAAAGTAAAAAATCAAGAGGCAATATTGGTACACCGCAGATACTATTTTTAATCTATGTTGCACAAAAATCCACATTCTCATTTTATAATTTTTGAAAAAGGAATGGAACGCTGTAAAATTTTGGACATAAAGTGGACATAGATGTAAAAAAAAAGTAATTCTAAATTTGAATTGTATTACTTAATCATTGCTGTGGATGTCTGAACTGCAACAAAATAGATTCTATTTAATTTATATTATAATCAACCTGACTTTACGGACACTCATTATTGTAGTTTCTTTCTAACATACATTACTGACATACACCCACACTAACTTGCCTACCTTGCTTTAGAATTATAATTTCGTTTATATAATTAAAATCCGTTATTGGCTGTATTTATAAAAGACAGCATATAAGTTATTCTTAAGAACTGTGGATTATTGTATTAAATAAATTCTCTAATAGAATAAAATAAATGCACGTATGTGTATGTGTGTGTGTGTACGCGGGCTGTGTGCGTGCATGTGTGAATGCGTAAGTGCGTGCGTGCGTGCGTGCGTGCGTGCGTGTGTATGTATGCGGTAATGCGGTAAGCCGCGAGTGCACGTGGCGCCAGTTGGCGCCGCACGTGTGTGTGTGTATGTGTGCGGTGAGCCGCGTACCTTGTGTCCGCCGTAGAAGGCGACCTCCTCTGCGTGCGCGATGAGCCGCGAGTGCACGTGGCGCAGGTTGGCGCGCATGCGCGCCTCCTCGCTGGCCAGCGCGCCGAACCGCGGACTCAGCAGCCGCAGCAGCTGCCCCGTCAGGCAGATCACCACCGTCGCTATGCCGGGGCCTGACCAGTACCGTACAGACATACTTTACAACTAAGCAACATATTTGCAACGTGAAGAAACATAAAAAGAGCGTTTCTCGATTGATTTAATAATGATACCCGAGCATCGATCTAGTTTTTGATCCTTCGATCCGGATACCAATAAGCTTCGGATTCGAAGGACCAAAAATATGTACTAATAGATAAAATGTTATTTGAAATTAAGAAGCACTTTATCTAAATATATGAAGGAATAGAAAAGGAAGTCTTAGCTCAACTGTAGAACACTACATACTAAACTAATTGAGCTACTCTGCCTGTGTTTTTATTGTTTTTTAACTTAATCTTAACAGTAATAAAATACAAACAGTATATTGAACAAAAATTCACGATGTCAAGATTATTTGTCATATTAAAAACCAAATACGATATAAAATTGCCCATTTGAGTCGAGCGCTATGGGCGCAGCGATCGCTACAATGTCAAATGGTGAAAAGGTTACCAAAACTACACACCCATTAGTATGTTGCCCTTCATTTTGCTTGAGTAACTGGCGAGCGTGAGCACGATGAGGAGCAGGTCGAAGCAGGGCTTCGTCAGCGAACTGTACAAGTGAGCCACGGACTGCGTGAACACTGATACGTCTTCTGTTAATCTGGCGAAAGAAATATGATCCATAATTAGATATCTAGTCCGGACTAAGTACTTTTCTCATTTCAGTTATCATACCATCGTACGCGAGTTAATCTCGTTTGTTCACGGTATTTTCCATCATCGGAGAGTCAATCAACAAGACTAGAAATATAGATATAGTATTAAAAGCCATAGGTACCTGTGATCGGCGTTCTCTATCCTGGCATCCAGATTGGAGACGCGGTAATAAGTCTGGTTCTTGAAGTACAGATCGTAGGCGTGGTTCACCAGCCTGGTGCGGAACGCGAGCGCTAATCTACTCTCCAAGTATCTGCAAGTGACACCAAGACATTCATTGTTAAAATCAGTCTAATAGTAAAGTAAATAGAAACCAAATTCAAACTTTTAAATTCCAAATATATTTATATAGTTTTTTTCATACGACTTAGACTGGAAAACTGCCAGTACTGTAATGAGTATGTTGGAACGTTTTGATTTGTAAACTTTTTATTTAAAAAAAGAATAACAAATTGAAATTCAAAAAGAGAACACGCTGCCATTCTGATACGTACATTCTGCTTCTTGACATCGTGCCTAGAGCATATTTTAATAGCACGATTAAGCAAATCGTTCTTTATTATTAAATTAAATATAACACAAGTAATTTAAATTCCCTTGTACAGTTCTTCCCCACCTGAGGAGATCATTGCCTGTAGGTATTTACAGAAGTATAGACATGACACAATATTATTTAATAATTTGTAATAACATATCTAATAATTTAACTGTCTTATCCCACCCTTCAAACCGGATCATTGTAGCTTTTTTTTTTTTAATAGGTAACAATGGAATGGTAACCCCGCCTGCGCTGTTGGTATACGCTGACGAGGGTACTAGTAAGAAATGGCCAGGATGAAAGCTTGCTTCTATTACGTTTACATCGTTAGTTTAGTTAGTTAGTTATTTTAATCTATATATACAGTTCTGTCGTATGTTAGTATTCTTTCTTGTGAAACATAATCTTTTGTATAAAGTCTCCCTCTGGTAAATTAATTCTTTCATAAATTAATTAATTAAAAGCAAATAAATTCATTCTGGTGATTCCATTGGGGCATCACTGAAAGGGTGCTAACATAAGAACTCACCTAATCATGGAGTTGATGAATGTGGCCGGTACAGCGATGCCGAACCACTGCAGTAAGAGTGAAGAAAATTTCTTCATGTCCTTCTGTACGATATGTCTCACTGGAATAAACAATTATAATATAATTATAAAATAAAAAGATTGTTTTTAACATCCAATCCATCTAAGATTTATTTATTTATTTATTTATTACATCCACTGGGTGAACCTTACAGTCTTCCAATACGCTCACCCAGGAAAGCATCAGTACAATAACATATAAAAAGGTATATTACACAAAAATATTAAACAAAAAATAATATAAAAAGATTTAACTGAAACAAAAAACGTCTGAACACAAATACTCTGTGGTCATTCGACGAAACTCCAGCAAGTTGGACGCAAATACATCCAATTGCGGATACTGGCTCAAAATATCATTGAGTAGTTTCAATGCAAGAGATAGGGGAGACTGTTTAATGAACTTGTGTATGTCCATGACTATGATACTAATTCATTATCATCATCATTATAGCAACCGTTAGCATTAACTGTCCACTGGTGAACATTGACCTTCTCCATGTAGAAGGTTTTGCCAGCAGTTAGCACACTTGACAGGCATGTTGGCAAACGCAGTTAGGCTTTTAGAAATAATTTAAGAGGGAGGCTGCTGCTCAATCCTCGAACATTAGCAGCTATGGACAGAATAGAATAGAATAGAATAGAATTTTATTGCTTACTGTGTACATACATATAGCAGTAACCATTGCTTTGGACTTGACATCAGTATCAACAGTTATACCCTATCGGGCATGCAATAATTTAACAACAGGTAATTAGCTAGCAATTACGTTAACAACGAAACATTCAAATACTACGAGTATTAACATTACATGATTGCAAATAAATATGTTTTATTTGGTAATACAATTTTTTTTTATACAACTTAGAATGGCAAACAAGCTGAGGGCCCACCTGATGGAAAGTGGTAACCGTCTCCTATACACATGAGCAGTACCATAGACATAACAGAGTAGGTATACTGTTTCACCCATGATACCGCCCATGCATTGCCATTCCTGAGGACTCAGGTGTTATTCCTTTGTACCCAGTAAATTCACGCCATATCCCACCCTTCAAACCAAAACACAGCTATGCAAACACAACTCCTTCACGGTAGAAACACTAATGGGACAGAGGTGGCCAAGCAAACGAATTTTGTACAAAGTCTTCCTCTGGTAAAATTAATAAAATAAACAAATAACAGTTAACATAATGGCAATGATGGGTTTATATATTGAATAATTATGGTTTTTATAGTAGGTTACAATACAAAAACATGTATGTATACAATACAAATATTTAGACAGAAAATTTAAACTTCTAAAGGTAGAAATTTTAATTTTAAGGGCCTTTTACCTTCTTCAGATATATCAACCCTATCGTACCCAGAACTGATTTCACAAATAAAGTATTATATACTTCTCCTAATCATTATTATTTATTATTATTATTTCAGCCGTTAAGTGTCCACTGCTGAACATAAGCCTTCCCCATAAGGAGAATTTTGCCAGTAGTTACCACGCTTGGCAGGCAGATTGGCAACCGCAGTTAGGCTTTTAGAGATTTTTTAAGAGGGATGCTGCTCTCACCTATAGATCCTTCTAGTGAAGCCACGTATATTGATAGGAATGTTCTAGAGAAGAGGCAGAGTGTGTGTGCACTGAGCAGCGCCACCTCATGGCTCCGGAACCCGGGTACCATGATCCGTGCGAGGGTCATCAGCTGCCTGAGGAACTCTAGGTTCAGCCCGGGCACGTGCTCCTCTGGTACTGATAGGGTTTCATCGGCGTCCTCCTGAAAACAAAAGTCATGACACTTATAAACAAGCGGGTGGTATACCTGATGCAATATGCCAGTACAAGTGACCGTCTGTATACAGGTACAGCATCATGGACATAATAGCATATACTGTGCTGCACGTAATATCCTTCTAGCGTTACTATACCTAAGGACTATAAGGTGTTACGCCACCGAACCCTGAAATTTCACTGCCATAACCCACACTTCAAACCGAAATACAGCCATGTAAGAGCTCCATTCAGCAATTTCGTTAATTCACCTAACCTCCCTTTGTTGGGGGGAAAAGGATTGTCAGCAATGGAGTTTGACAACCCCATTGCTAGCAATATGCCCTATTACATCGACCTCCACGTGGTTCCCCCTGGAAACCATCGTGAACGATCTTGTTGAATTCGTCACAATGGGCTGACCTGCTTCATCCTCACCTATCATCTTTCACTGGTGCCCCGCCAGCGTATACCATTAGCGCAGGCGAGATTACCACTCCATTATCACCCATTAAAAAAACCTACTTTTGTTTTCCACCCACTTAAATAAGTTTAATAACTTCTCAATTAGAAACATTTATCAATCACTAATCTTTACCCGTGACTTTCTCTGTGTGACCACATTAGTAAGTTTTTTTTTCCAACTTATAATGGCAAACAAGCTGACGGCCCACCTGATGGAAAGTGGCAATCGTCGCCTATAGACATGAGCAGTACCATAGACATAACAGAGTATACTGTTTCGCCCATGATACCCCCCATGCGTTGCCATTCCTGAGGAATCAGGTGTTATTCCTCTGTACCCAGTAAATTCACACCATATCCCACCCTTCAAACCGAAACACAGCCATGCAAACACAGCTGCTTCATGGTTGAAACACGAATGAGACAGAGGTACCCAAGCAATCGACTTTTGTACAAAGTCTCCCTCTGTACATTAGTAAATAATCTACGTCATTCCCCCTTTGCAACATTCTGTTAATTTAGTTATTTATTTACACTTTATTGCGCCATTTAAAATAAATAAATATAGTAAATATTAATGGGAAGTGATACAGATGGCGGTCTCATCACTAAGCAATCGTTTAGCTAAGCTGCTACATATATATGCTAAGGAATAATATATATTCTTTATTACATATTAAAAAAAAAGATACAGCGATTAGTTTAACAACTTGTTAGCAATGGTGGGCTTATCTCTAAAAGAGATCTCTTCCAGCCAACCCAATACAGTGAGAGAGAAAATGATTAGCAAGTAATCTAGTACAGAAAAATATGTTTCCAAATCGTAAATAAATAAATATGAATGTTAATCGATTTTCCTTCAATATCTACTGACATTAATTGCTCACAATTTCGAGTTGATTTATCTAAAATGTCATAGGTTACCAAAGATAAATATTAAGAGAGTGTTGCAAGCTTTTAAACAATATCTACTGATAAAAAAATTAAATTTGTTTTAATAGATTTCCATCTAAATCTATACTAAATATTAGAAAGAAGAAAGTTTTTATTAATTTATTTATTTTTGTAATAGACAGTCAAAAACGTCGAGTAGTATTCGAGTTAAAAATTCTTTCGCCTATAAAAAACTACATTATTCGCGAGTAGCATAAGCTATATATTGTTTTCAAAAATTCTATCTATCAATTAGTATTTTAGAAACGTGTTTAACATTGAAAACTTAAAATAAGTGCTCCGTTTTTTATTCCGTACAATTTTTTTCTTCTACTAACCGAAAATACCTAAACGCTAAGCAAATTATTTCACAATAGCAACACTACTGTTAAAACAAGGTTCATTGAACCGGACGCGCGATACTTAGATACTTAGTAAGTAGTGAGTACTGTGAATGCATTGCAACATTGGGAATGCATTAAGTAAGGGTAGATTAGATGTAACGCTTTATTATGCTCAAAACAAAAAAATAAATGCTCACCTTATGGACTTATTACAACAATAGTAGCTAGTCATCATCTTTTGTATTTTACTAGCGACCCGCCCCGGCTCCGCGCGGGTGCAATGCCGACCCGCAATTATGTCTAAGACATAGAAATATACCATCGCGAACTTTTTTGTGGACCTTTTTAAGGTGTATAAAATACTGTAGTACATTATTTTGATCTATCTCGTAGGGCCAGCGTTTGCTATTCAAAATACATAAATAAAGAATACGCTGCCTCACATTCCGATGTTGGGTTGCCAATTGGAGAATAATGAAATGAAATTAATTTATTTTACTAGAACGTAGGTAGTTTTAGATGGAAGAGGTTTACATTTCCCGTATACATTGTGCGGCACAATGTATACGGGAAATGTAAACCTCTTTAACCTGGTACAATTTGTACCTCTATGTCGACGTGCAAATTATTAATAATATGAGAAATTTACGTATACCTATTCTACATTATATATATATACCTATATTATATATTATACCTATTCTATATTATATTTCTTTTCATTAGTCATTTATATCAATACATATATAATTTATTACAGTAAATTAAAGTTACTAAAGACATAACTAATCATCAATTTAAGAAACTTTAATTTTTTTATACAACTTAGAATGGCATACAAGCTGAGAGCCTACCTGATAAAACACATGAGCAGTACCATGGACGTAACAGAGTATACTGTTTCACCCATGATACCCCCCGTGCGTTGCCATTCCTGAGGACTCAGGTGTTATTCCTCTGTACCCTGTAAATTCACGCCATATCCCACCCTTCAAACCGAAGCACAGCCATGCAAACACAACTGCTTCACGGTAGAAACACTAATGGGACAGAGGTAACTAAGCAAACGACTTTTGTACAAAGTCTCCCTTTGGTAAATTAAATAAATTAAATTAAATATATTAAGTAAATTATTAAATGTATGTAAGAATAAAAAATAATTCTATTACTTTCTCACTCACTCTTGATTATGTGATACATATAAATATGAATAGGATGATGATTTAAAAATATTTTATAATCCGGTTTCAATGTTTTAGCCTAATTAGTAACAGTTACGTCAATTTCGATAAAAAAAAAACATATATTCGCATATTGATAACCTCCCACTTATTGTTTTTGTCATAAAAAAATATATATATCAGTGTTAACTAGGAGACATATCTGTTGATATCATATTATCTCTCTCACTCACTCACGACTATTACATTTAAATATGAGTAGGACGACCTTTGTTATTATTTTTTAATCCGGCTTCAATGCCGTACAATGTCTAACACGCACTAGGACACATATCTATACAGTTATCTCTCAACCTTTTAAAATATATAAAAAAATATATATCTTTGGTGTTATTCCACAAATAAAAAAAAATATGTTATTTATTTATTCATACATATATTGTACACAAAAATTACATTGTTTTAAACTATATTAAATAAAGATGTACAATAGGCAAGCTTAACTCTGTAAGAGCTCTCTTCCAGCAAGACCAGAGGGAGACTTTGTACAAAAGTCGATTGCTTGGGTACCTTTGTCCTATTCGTGTTTCAACCGTGAAGCAGTTGTGTTTGCATGGCTGTGTTTAAGTTTGAAGGGTGGGATATGGCGTGAATTTACTGGGTACAGAGGAATAACACCTGAGTCCTCAGGAATGGTAACGTATGGGGGGTATCATGAGCGAAACAGTATACTCTGCTATATCCATGATACTGCTCATGTTTATAGGCGACGGTTACCACAGTCCATCAGGTGGGCCGTCAGCTTGTTTGCCATTCTAAGTTGTAAAAAAAAGCAAACCAAATATTTTCATTTCTTTTTTGTGCCATTCCGAGATTTCCTTTCTAACTGTGACCACGACTGTTCACGTGATCGCGATAAAAACTAGCCAATGTCCCTAACCGTGCCAATTACTATATGTATGCGAAATTTCACGATGATTGGTTGGCTGATTCAGACTCAAAAATGTGACAAACAAACACACTTTCACACTTAAATAACCGTATACATAGTTACCGTTCGTTATCACAAGGTGGTATTATACTAAACAAACTAAGAGCATAAAACAAGAGTTCATTCGCTCTTTTTGAAGAAATATTTAGACAAAAGGAATAACCAGAGGGAGACTTTGTACAAAAGTCGTTTGCTTGGGTACCTCTGTCTCATTCGTGTTTTAACCGTGAAGCAGCTGTGTTTGCATGGCTGTATTTCGGTTTGAAGGGTGGGATATGGCGTGAATTTACTGGGTATAGAGGAATAACATCTGAGTCCTTAGGAATGGCAACGCATGGGCGGTATCATGGGTGAAACAGTATACTCTGTTATGTCCATGGTACTGCTACAGATGGGCTTGTTTGCCATTCTAAATTGTTTTTGAAAAAATATATAAAAATTGTATGAAAAATTTGATGACGTAAAAATTCAGGTGAAATGAAAGTAAAAAAAATATTGTGTCCCGTTAAAAACAATCGACTTAAATTGTGACAAAACAATATATTTCGATCTAAAAACTAAACTACTAAATCCATTTTGATACAATTCCTATAGGACCAAACTGTAAGTACATCCTTTCAGATAAATCAAGAATTTCCCAAATCGATTTACAACTGACGAAGTTATGAGGTGACAAACTTGAAAAAAAAAAAGGACCGCATCGAGAACTGCCTTTTTTCGAAGTCAATAGATGAAGTAACTTGCGTAACGCAATATGATTTAATGCTGTAGGTGACTCAGGACCGTCCCTATGGCAGTCTATGGGGGCTATGTTGAGCAGGAGATAGATGATGGCAAAATGATGATGATGATGATGATGATGATGATGGTGGTGGTGGTGTTGGTGGTGGTGGTGGTGATGATGATGATTACCGCTCATAAATATATACATATAATTACAATGTTCTGCTTGTTGTCTGTATCCGCGTCGCCGCGACACAGCGCGCACTGTTCCGCCCCGCAGCGCCCACCGCACGTCTCGCCCTCCCCCGCGCCGTTTTCAACCGAATTGTATTTGCCATTCTTTGCCACCTGAAAAATACAAAAAATAATCATCAGTAAACCTTCATTTAGAGGAGTAAAATGAAATGAATTGTTTCGTTTAAGAATGTTTACATTGATATGTTTTTAGAGGTTGATAACAAAATGGTAACCTAACCTAGCAACTACAGGGGGGAAAAGGGATTGTTAGTAATAGAGACTGAGAATACCATTGCTAGCAATATACCCAACCAGGTCGACCTCCTCGCGGTTCTTCCTGGAATTTATCATGGTATATTCTTGATAAATTCATCATGATGGGCTAACAGACCTATTTCCATTCTCATCTATCACCCTTCACTGGTGCTTCGCCAGCGTATCCCGTTAGCGCAAGCGGGGTTATCATACCATTTTCACCCTTTTAAAAAAATCTAGCAACTACTTTGTTAGCACTATACACTGATATATACATATCAGGTCGACCTTCACACGGTTCCCCCTGGAAACCATCGTGATTAATTTATTATTGAATTCTTTGCGATGGACCAACTGACCTGTTTCATCCTCACCTATCATCCCTCACTGGTGCCCGGCCAGTGTATACCGATAGCGCAAAAGGGGTTACCATTCCATTACAATCTCATTAAAAAAGACCTTTGCTATCGGTTTACATTGACGGGCTACTAGTTAGAGATAATAGATGAGAATGAAGTCAGTGAAGTTGACTTATCCGGACAAATTCACTTAGAATTCGCCACAAATGTTTCTAGGGGAGACCACGAGGATATTGACTTGCTGTAAAAAGTGGTAATACTACTGTCCATAGGGGGGAAAAGGATTATTAGTAATAGGGTCAAATAGCCCCATTACTAGCAATATATCCTGACAGGTCGACCTCCACGTGGTTCCCCCTGGAAACCATCGTGGCTAATTCTAGTTGAATTCGTCAGGATGAGCTAACTGGACCTGCTTTCATACTCATCAGTCATCTATTACTGGTGGCCCGCCAGTATATACCGATAGCGCAGACAGAGTTACCATACTATTAAAAAAAACTATTGTCCGTAGAACCTAAATGTATTGACTACAATTTTATGCCTGATGCATCGGAAAATGCACTTGCAACACACACATTACTGCGTCAGCAGAAATAGGTACACCCAAATTTGTTCATACCTATATTAATTGAAGTCTCCAGAAGACCACAATTACGTTTGTAACAATCCTAAATATGTAGGTACACAATCTACATTTTTTCTTCAAGAGTACATCGTGAACGCAACGCCTCTGGTATTGCAAGAGGCCGTTGGCTACAATGAATTTTTTTTATACCACTAAGGTGGCAAACAAGCATACGGCCCACCTGATGGTAAGCAGTTACCGTAGCCTATGGACACCTGCAATACCAGAGGTATTACGCGCGCGTTGCTGACCCTGAAGGAACCTCTTTAGCCCCCTTTTGAAGAACTTTTGAACACTTCGGCAGCGAGTCCTTTCATAACCTGAGTGTTCGTGGGAGAAAACATCCCTGAAACCGCTTTGTACGCGACCATTTAGGCTGCATTATTATCACCAGAGTAGGTGGTAGACTTGAATTAATCTTGTGTAGGTCAGTAACATGATATTATTAAAAATAATTCGATCTAAACAAAGAATTTCAATAAAAAAAATACGAAAAAAAAAAACCAGTTCTCGGCCTTGTACACTTGATGATACAAGTATCTACATCTTTTCTATGCGACTCCTATGTAAATTTAATGAATGATTACAATACAGCCTAATTAGAACCAATTATAAAAAGCCTTATTATCTGGTATTCTTGTAACTATTTTCTTGATAAATCCAGAGGGAGACTTTATACAAAAGTCGTTTGCTTGGATACCTCTGTCCCATTCTTGTTTCAACCGTAAAGCAGTTGTGTTTGCATGGCTGTGTTTCGGTTTGAAGGGTGGGATATGGCGTGAATTTACTGGGTACAGAGGAATAACACCTGAGTCCTCAGAAATGGCAACGCATGGGGGGTATCATGGGCGAAACAGTATACTCTATTATATCCATGGTACTACTCATGTCTATAGGCGACGGTTACCACTTTCCATCAGGTGGGCCGTCAGCTTGTTTGACATTTTAAGTTGTACAAAAAAAATAGATAGATAGCTAAACACTTTATTTGAGCCATTTATGACACACGTAAATTAACAAATGTGGTCATAAAATCAAATGAATTACATTGTCTTTAATATAGAACAAAGACAAAATATGAAAATATGTTTTCGCCATGTGTGTCGCAGTGACCCAAATAGGCTACAGCTCAGCGATAGTTTTGCTTGAAAGCAAAACACTGATTTTTAACTGCAACCTGAATTAGCTTCAACTTGTAGTTATCCTAAATCTAGTAGAATAGTAGAGTCATGCTCGTTTGCCCCGGTGTTATAAAAAAAATGTTTTTTATAACACTGGGACAAACGAGCATGCGGCTCACCTGATAGTAAGTGACTACCGCCGCCCATGATCACCCACAACACCTATGGCATTGCAGGTGTGCTGCCGGCCTTTTAAGTAATATTATTATGTAGCTTATATCTGCCTGTAGCTATATACCGTGTGGTCCCGGCATATAATAGGCCACCCCTTCCTTACCCGTGGGTGTCGTAAGAGTCAACTAAGGGAGGGCGAGGGATGGGTAGCAGCGTCCCTTTTAAAACATCTCTAAAGCCTAACTGCGGTTGCAAATCCGTCTGCCAGACGTGGCAACTACTGGCAAAACCCCCCAAGGGGGAAGCTGTTCAGCAGTGGACAGTTGAAGGCTGGTATGATGATGATTATGTAGCTTACCTTATAATTATTATTATTGTTGCATGGTGTTGTCTGCTTCTTGTCTCTGGTCCCGTATAGAGCGCAGGCTGCTAGGGCCACCCCAACACCGACGCCCAGAGCCACTGTGGGTTGCACCCTTGACGCCTGCTCTCGAATTTTTGAGAAAATCGCTGGCATTTTTCTGTTTTTCTTGTGATATTTCTTCTATTATTATAATCGATACTGTTGTATCCTTATATTAAAATGTGTTAACTTATGTTATATTTTAATTAGAGATCGTTATTACTTATTTTTAAATCACAGATATCGGGAACTGATTAGTTTGGGTATATTATTTGTTTCTTTTTTTAATAAAATTTCTACTAAATTTCCTCTTTTATTAAGTTGTGATGGTCGTCTCTGGTCGTTCGTCCATTTTACTGTAACAATGAGAAACAATAAATTAGTATTATAATTTAATTAATAATTAACGTTAAACTAATTTTCCGTGACTATTATGACAAACTTAAAAAAATAGATTTCACAAAATAAGTCATTTGTTACTAGAGACAACAATCTCGGGATCCCGAATGACACAGGCACCGGGTCGTTAAATATACAGCTATAATAATTATGTTATATATGAAATAATTGTATAAATTAAAACAAATAATTAAAAATAATTTTTGTACGTTTTACGTAATTTTTCTACCAAAAAAACTATTTGTTTTTTTTTTTTATTTTAACAGAATTGTATTCTCTATTTTTAATTAAAAACAATCAAAGAAAGATCACAAAATATGTTACGTATTAAAATATTTAATAACATTAGCTTACATCAACTTGTCCATTCACTGTTTAGAACTGACAACTTCCGTATCGTAGTATTAGGTATTTGTCGAGTCGTAGTTAGATTCCGGGTGCCGTATTTATTTGGGCCAAATCAGGAAGCTACATTAGTTGGATTTATTTATAAAGGATTGTACATATAGATATATTAATGAGCTAATTATAAATGATATATACTTATTTATTTATTTATTTTATTCTTTATTGCATAATAAAACTTTGTACAAGTGGCGAGCTTAATGCCATATGGTATTCTCTACCAGTTAACCATAAGGTAAAAACAGAGAGCGTATGAAGGGCAGATGTAGTGAAAAATATGTGACATAATTATAGCAACATAATGAAATAATTATACATAATAATACATAAGAAATACACATATAACACATAAATACTACTTATATGTATTTATTAAATATTTATTTTACTGTGCTTAATGCAATGACATTAACAGGATTCGAAACTATCTGACTTTAAAGTTATTTTGGAATGATCTCCCTGTCGACATTTTCACTAGAGACTAGTTTTTTAAAACGGAGATATATATAATATGTACATATTAAGGTTGAGCGCAATTATGGCTCATCCGTCATACTTGTGAACGGGTGCTACATATAGGGACTGGACTGCTTAGGTCACTGGTAACTGATTTATTTTAGTAATAAAATTTCCTTATTTATATAATTAAACTTTTTGAAATAAGCAACAACTGAGTTTCTTTCCCGTTCTTCTTGGTTGAAATTGCGTTCGGAAATGGTGGTAGAACAATGAAAAAAATTTGTATTCAAAAATGCGTAAACGTATATTTAGTCGAATAAAAATATTTCTTTCAAGTTTCTTAAGGGTCGGCATGTATTTGATACCCCGAATGTTGCTACCTAAGATACAAAAGCCATTTATCATTAGAACGACAGTATTTTTGTTTGTTCAGTACCATTATGATATAAATTAAATACGTAATACACTGTTATCGTTAAGCAATTTCTCCTAGACAAGCTGACGACCAACCTGATGGAAAGTGGTAACCATCGCCTATAGACATGATCAGTACCATGGACGTAACAGAGTATACTGTTTCGCCCATGATACCCCCCATGCGTTGCCATTCCTGAGGACTCAGATGTTATTCCTCTGTACCCTGTAAATTCACTGCCATATCCCAAAACCGAAACACAGCCATGCAAACACAACTGCTTCACAATAGAAATACGATAAGGACAGAGGTGCCCAAGCAAACAACTTTTGTACAGTCTCCCTTTGGTAAAAGATAAAGGTATTTTATAATACGTTGATAAAATATTCCTTACAACAATGATAACAAGTATTATAATAATAAACATAATAAAATCCAAGATTAACGGTTAGATAGTAACAAAGATCACTAACAGCCCAGCAACAGACACTGCATTGCGAAAGACGTGGGTGTATGTAGGGTTGCCAACCTTTCTCCGGATTTGTCCTAGTTTAGAGGGCATCCGGGGAGCGTCCGGGCGGGGCGTTACCTCAAAAATTTTTAGACTAAAATGGTATAAGTATTTTAAAGTGTATTGTTTAAATTTTTTTTTTTTTATTGAATTTCTTTAGGTTTAATATTTTAATAAGGTCTTGTTTTTATAACAGAGTATATATTAAATATTTGTGGATTATTTTAGTATAAAAAAAAATCTAATTGATTATTAAAACAATTTGTAACGAACTGTAATAAGATTCTACTTTGTTAGATACATTTAAAATGATGATAAAAGATGACTAAATTTAACTTTAAGGTCTCAGCATAAATAAAAAGTTTATTTTTTGTGACATTGTCAACTGTTTTTTATTACACTGAGTGAGTATGTTTAAAAAAACCTGTTGATATATCCAGGTTCTGGGTTCTAAAATCCGGGGTTTTCACGCGTCTTGTCCTGTTTGCCAAATATAAGAGTGGCAACCCTACGTTTATGATACGCTGCAAGCTAGACATAATTACAGGTCGAGGTAAGTAATAAAACATACATACGAATGAATACTATCGCACAGTCTCTTGTAACAAACGCGATTAGAGACCTTGATTACTTCCTTAACCTTTAAATTTTCATCATCATCATCATTTCAGCCATTATTCGTCCACTGCTGGACATAAGCCTCCCCATAGACCGCCATAAGGAACGGTCCTGAGCCACCTGCATTCACTGATGCCTGCAATGCATTTGTTGATCGTCACTCCGACACGTTCTGAAGCTTGCCCGTACGAGGTCCCCCCTTTAAAACCTTTCTCGGTTGTCGGTTCTTCGAGCTATGTGACTAGTTCATTGGCATTTCAATCTTGCTTATCCTTTAGACTATGTCTGTTTTTTTGGTTCTTTTGCGGATATCCTCGTTTCGGATTCTATCACGCAAAAAAAGCTCCAAACTTAGCCCTCTGAGTAATTCGAAGCTTTTGCATACGGGCAATCGTGTAGGACCATGTTTCGATTCCATAAGTCATCACTGGCAACACGAACTGGTTAAAAGACCTTCGTTTCCAAACTATTAGGTATTATTATTCAATTTTAACAGTAGATAAATCAAGAGATGTAGATAAGAACAGCCTCCAGATTCTTAGAACTCCGTTCTAATTATCTGCCTTAAAAACTGACAGAAAAAATCCCAATAACCTGGACACCGGCTATAAAATTGAAATCACGAACACACATTTGTACTTTGCCATTTATATCATTACTGGTTTATTCCTAACTGGTTTCCTTTTAAGGCATTATCAGAAGTTCAACAACATAATAATGTATTCAAAGCTCAATCAAATGCCAAACAATCTCACCTCTATTAAGGTAACCATAAATATTACAACAACAATTTGGTTGTGACCAGTATTTAGTGGTATTTACCATTGCAATTTGTACATACGTTTCTCATATCATACATACATACATACATATCTGTCACGCCTGTCTCCCATTAGGGTAGGAAACAATGAAACGCTAAATGCTTCGATTCAAACAAACCTCTTTTGCTCATATCACTAGCAGAATATAAGGACAAGTAATAGTCCAACGCTTTTTTTAAGTCCCGAACGATTACATGACAATTCAGAACGCATTATGTACTAGACATGTCCATTGGATGAATGATAGTGTTGGAAATGTAATTTAGCCTTTGTCTAAGAAGTTTATGTTGTCAATGTCAGAAAGGTAAATGTGTATCTGTAAAAAGAAGTATCTGTTGTAATTACTTACTCTGTGAACTGTTACAAGAATGGAGAAATGTCTGTATTAAGATTGCTGTGGTGTTCCTAGTATAAAATATATGTTTTCAAAGAAAGGAGATTCGTTTAGTTAATAGTGTACATATATTTTCAGATAGAAAATTGTTCTTTAGATTGGCCCTCTAATATGAATGTTTTAAGAACTCAACTACAATATTTTATACTATTTTTTAACATCTTTAACTTATGGTCATATTCGACAACCCTAATTCTAACAGGTCCTAACAAAATAAGCAAAAAATTTATACTATATGTCAATATTTATATAAAAAAATTAAAATACTCATTATTTTATTTATTTATTAACGTAATTTATCATAAATTATAATTTTACATTTTGATATTTGGACAATAAGTAATAAATTTTGTATACACTTATTGTATATGTTTATTATATTTTATATTGTAACTTTTTGTATAATATATGTTTATAACACTTTTTGTACATGTTTATTATATTTTATATTGTAATTGTATGGCAATAAATGTTTCTATTCTATTCTATTCTAAATTATTTCTTATTGTTCAAATATCAAAATATAAAATTTGAAAATGTAAAATTGGAAAAATAAATAGTTGTGGTCCAAACATTGTCCCTGCGGCACTCCGTACGTGAATCAATAATAGACATAGTTAAATATGAATAAAAGTGTTATATAATGACCTTGATCCTTGAACTAAATATATGAATACTACATGATATCACCGAGCGGAGCAATGTGAACTTAACATTGTAAGAATAGCTAGGTAAATCCAAACAATGGGGGGAAAGGGATTGTTAGTAATGGGGTCAAATATCCCTATTACTAGCAATATACCCTGTCAGGTCGACCTCCACGTGGTTCCCCCTGGAAACCATCGTGACTAATTCTAGTTTAATTTGTCAGGATGGGCTAACTGACCTACTTTCATATTCATCTGTCATTCTTCACTGGTGCCCCGCCAGTGTATACCAATAGCGCAGACGAGGTTACCATACCATTATCACCCATTAAAAAAAAAAATCCAAACAATGGTACAATTACGTGTTTATGTATAACCTAATAATCTAAACATAATCTTGTTGAATGTTACGTCGATTACGACGGTCGGAGTTCAAAACATGGTACTTAAGTAGTATGTAATTGTTATTTACCCACCTCAATAATGTTAAACAGTTTTTTTTTTTGATGGGTGAAAATGGTATGGTAACCCCGCCTGCGCTAACGGGATATGCTGGCGGAGCACCAGTGAAGGCTGATAGATGAGAATGAAAACAGGCCAGTTAGCCCATCACGATGAATTCATCAGGAATTAACCATAATAGTTTCCAGGGGGAACCGCGAGGAGGTCGACCTGGTTGGGTATAGTGCTAGCAATGGGATTCTCAGTCTCCATTACTAACAATACCTTTCCCCCCTATATAAACAGTTATATTTCCAATATTAGAGTAGCCTATATCCTACTCTATCACATATAGTATATACAAAGTTTCATAGTGATTGGTTAAGCAGTCTCTGAAAGAAACTCACTTTGACATCAACAATGAATTTAACACGTCACAAGATTCCAAATTCAACATTTAACAACAATGCAAAGTCAAAAGTGATGGATCATGTAAATGTCATTCAAATCATTGTCATTTTGAATGACATTTACATTGATATGACGTGTTAACGTAACAAAACAATTGTCAAATACACACATGACATATCCTGTTTGTGGTTTTTTTTTTTTTTATTAAGAAATTTGTATTCCTTCAATATTTTATATTATTTTATTTATATGGCGCACATAACATAAGTTTACAGATACAAACTCAAACTGTAACATGCAAGTACATTAATGTATTGATCATGTAAACTTGCCACACAACATGTGCACACAGCATGATCCAATAATAAATGCGACTGCAACAAAGCCATTCGGTTACAATTATTAGTGATAAAAATTAAACATAAAAAAGAAAGTTCAATAAAAAATAAAACAAAAGTTAATTAAGAAACTTCTAAATATTACATTATTCAAGTAATTTTATATAATTGTCTACGATATTTTTTTTTATACAACTTAGAATGGCAAACAAGCTGACGGCCCACCTGATGGAAAGTGGTAACCGTCGCCTATAGACATGAACAGTCAGGACATAACATAGTATACTGTTTCGCCCATGATACCCCCCATGCGTTACCATTCCTGAGGACACAGGTGTTATTCACACCTCTGTACCCTGTAAATTCACGCCATATCCCACCCTTCGAACCGAAACACAGCTATGCAAACACAACTGCTTCACGGTAGAAACACGAATGGGACAGAGGTACCCAAGCAATCGACTTTTATACAAAGTCTCCCTCTAGATAGGTCTACGATATTAATTATAACCGAGTCCAAATATATCAACGTCATTTTGATGAGCGTCATCATATGATCTACACATATTCGCTATAGGGTTATTGAAAGAAATATTATTTCTATAAATATTTAATTTAATGAAATTAAATGTTTTATTTTTTAAGGATGTCCAGAAAAAAACCGAAATGACCTGCATAGACCGAAGGATAAGCACGCTAAAATGGCAATGGGCTGGTCACATAGTTCGAAGAAGCGACAACCGATGAGGAAGAAAGGTTCTTGAGTGACGACCCTGTATAGACAAACGCAGTATAGGACAACTCCTTACTAGATGGAGTGACGACCTCAAATGCATTGCAGAACAGCAGTGGATACAGATGGCTCAGGAGCGTTCCTTATCGCAGTCTATGGGGAAGGCCTATGTTAAGCAATGGATAGGTGACGTGAAATGACAGTCAGTGAAAACAATTGAAAATATTTTTGTGCCAATAAACTGTTCAATATATTTATTTTATTTCTGTTTCCCGATAATTCAGAGGAGCTTCCTCCCGCAAACAGGTTATGGAATGATCTTCCTGCCGACGCTTTTTCTAGAGACTACAGCGTGGGGTGCTTAAAAAAGGGCGTATTAAGGTTTCTTAAAGGTCGACAATGCGCACCTGACATCTCTGATGTTAAAGGCATCCATAGACCCCTTTACCATCAGACGGACTGTATGCATGTTTGCTACCATAGTTGTACACTAAAATAAATTGTAACCTTGTCATCTTTTTGAGACAATATACAATGATTTTATTCAAATCCATTTATTCATTTAAGTGTTTATATTTAAATAAAAAAAAAAAAAAAATAAGTAGATCCATACTAATATTATAAAAATAAAAAAGAAATTGTTTCTCTTTTTTTGTTACCTTATAGCACCTCAGCGGCTTAAACAATCACTATGAAATTTGACACACAGGTACTATGTGGGGTGGAGAAGGATATAGTTTACTTCTTATCCCGGTCAGTAAAAATATGCCGGTCATGCGGAGTGGCGAGTAAAAGTTAGTCTATTATGAATGCATTGAGGAAAACAATCTGACGGATTAGCCTCCACATTGGGCCGAAGGTCAGGGTGACGCACACTTCCTTTTTGTGAACAACACTAATGAGTAATTATGTACTAGTTTTTGTCTATATTAACAGCGCCTAAGAAATAGCAGTATCTATATATGTATATCTATATAATAGTAGTGTTTCTATTAAACTTTTATGAAGACAAAAAAGTACACTGAAGTTAGACGGAAATCCCTCTCGTTGATGATTTAAAAACACCAAAAAATTTACTTCAATTGATGCAAAACTACTTATATTTTGACTTAAAAACTAAACTACTGAATTTATTTTTATAAAAATTACTATGAGACTAAATTACAGGCCATCAGAAACTAAACATACATACATACTATAACGCCTATCTCTGATTAAGGTAGTCAGAAACAATAAAACGCCAAATGCTTCGATTCAAACAAGCCTCTTTCGCTTCTTCCACATTCATCAATCTTTTCATACACGCTCGTTGATTACGGGTACTTTCAATTTAGCCCTTCTTCAGTACGTCGCCTATTTGTTCGACATATAGTATGTCTGTCTTAGAGAAACCCTACCGACATCTCTATTCATTCTTGCTCGATAAATCTCTTTCGTAATTCTTCTTTCATCCATCCTCTTTAAATGGCCAAACCAACGCAACATTCCTTAAGTTATGAGCCATCATAAACTAAATTTATAATAATTTTGACTTTAATAGAAATTAGGTTCATAGATTAGATGCTTATAATAAATTCACTGTGACTCCAAATAGAAATTTAAATTTAAAAACTAGATTTAGAAAAATGACGCATCAGAATCGACCGCATTGTCTGTAATTATTACTGTATGTTGTATTTGTCGTATCAGCCGTTGACTGTCCACTTCTGAACATGACCTACCCCTTGGGGGGTTTTGGCAGTAATTGCCACGCTTGGCAGGCGGGTTAGCAACCGCAGTTTGGCATTTGGCGATGTTTTAAGAGGGACGTTGCTGCCCATCCCTCCCTCTTCCTTAGTCGTCTTCTACGACACCCACAGGAAAGGAAGGGGTGGCCTATTCTATGCCGGAACATATACAGTTAATTATGACTGTATATCTGATTGTAATAAAAAAATATTCTCTTAAATCGGTACACCAAGATATTTATCTATATCAGGGATTCCTAAACGTTTAAGATAACAAAACGCCCACCAAATACCTTTTATATTACGGAACCCCATATCAAACTATTACAAATCAAAAACACTGTAATTTAAAAAAAAAACAAAAGCTTTTATTAGAAATATTTTAAAAATATAACACTTTATAGTTTCCTTTAATTTTTAATGTGAACAATGAAATTGTTTCACTGTATAAATAATTTCACGGAACCCTGGTGAATTTTTTACGGAACCCACTTTAGGAATCGCTGATCTATACCATTACGACATTGTTGTACAACGATACAATTATATAAAAAATAAAATCAAACAGTTGAATCGAGAATATAAAAAAAAACTTTAAAAAAAAACGCTTCGGAATTTTAACAATACACATCTCGCGCGCTCTTTGCTTCTCGTAAATCCTAATGGGTTATTAAATACTATTAATAAAACTAGAAATATTAATTATATTCGCCATTATAATTTTTTTTTTTTTACGTATGCAAATAATAAAATTTTAATATAAATAACTGGGCCGTCAGAATAGCACGGAAAATACGAATGTTAAAATTCCAAACTCACATAACTGGAATACTATTTTTCCCCCAAGATTAATATGTTTATTTCGAGAAACTTCTAGAACTATCATAAATACGAATAATGTTATAGCCTTTTACATGTATATATTACATCGCTTTGTTTTTAACCGACAGCTCACGAAACAGTAGTGTAATGTTTTTCAGCATAATATGTCCGGATATTTTGATTCCAAGAAAAAGATTCTTTTTTTATGCAACTTAGAATGGTAAACAATCTGACGGTCCAACTGATGAAAAGTGGTAACCGTCGCCTATAGACATGAACAGTACCATGGACATAACAGAGTATACTCTTTCGCCCATGATACCTCTCATGTATTGCCATTCCTGAAAATTCAGGTGTTATTTCTTTGTAAATTCACTGCCATATATATATACCACCCTTCAAACCAAAACACAGCCATGCAAACACAACTGCTTCATGGTAGAAACACGAATAGGACCGGGTTGCTCAAGCAAACGACATTTGTACGTCTCCCTCTGGTTCTCAATTCGGTTGTAATTTTTATATGTTTAAAACCTCATATCTCCGTCAATTCTAAACCGATTTGTAAAATTCATTTTTTATCTGAAAGGACATACCTATAGATTCGTACCATAGTAATATCATCAAAATCGGTTCAGTGCTTTAGTTTAAAGTTCAAATAAACTGGTTTTGTCACAATAGAACTCTTTTTTTTTTAAACACATACATTTTTTAAGTGTACACAATCAAAACAGCGCGTTACATTACGAGAGCGCTACAAGCTACACGGCAACAAATATAAAACATAGACATGACGGTCATAAACATATCAAAACATATTTTACAGTCGGATTTTTTTGTGATTTTCTCACGGCCACTTGTTTTCGTGTACGTAACTTCTGTTTACGGGTATATTGGTCTATGCAGAATTAGGTACTTGAGAGAAAAAATTAAATGCTGCCGTCAGTATCTAGTGTTCGTAAGTTCGTAGTACAAACTCTCTTTATTTTGTTAAGAGTGGGACTGGCTGAAAACCAGCGCTGCGCAGCTGTTCACATTACGCTGGGACATTTTTTTTTTACAACACAGGGGGCAAACGAGCATGCGGGCTCACCTGATGGTAAGTGACTACCGCCGCCCATGGTCACCCACAACACCTACGGCATTGCAGGTGTGCTGCCGGCCTTTTACATTCACAGCATCAGCTGAGCCGGTTCCTTTTGATAGATAGATAGATAGATAAACACTTTATTTGAGCCATTTATAACACACGTAAATTAACAAATGAGTTTATACATTGTTTCTGCCTACCCTAATGGGAGACAGGCGTGACAGATATGTATGTATGTATTTATACAATCAGATTATTTACAGGATTTTAAATATAAAACAAAAGATAAAGTATGGAAATATGTTTTCACCAAGTGACCCAAATTTTGTCTAGCATGGGACACTTCTTGTATATATATTTTCTATATTTTATATTGTGATTGTGTGTTTACTGGCAATAAATGTTTTCTATTCTATTCCATTCTTTAGTTGGAAGGAAGGTCAGTAATGGTAATCTAACAGCTCCGTTATTAATGATAATCTATCAGGTCGGGGGGAAAGGGATTGATAGTAATGGGGTCTAACAGCTCCATTGCCAGCAAAGTTTGATAGGGTATCAGGTCGATCTCCACGCGGTTCCTCCTGGAAACTATCGTGACTAATTTATTATTGAATTCGTCACGATGGACAAACTGGCCTGCCTTTCCATCCTCACCTTACAACTCTCACTGGTACCCCGCCAGAGTATACAGATAGCGCAGGCGGGGTTACCATGCCATTTTCACCCATTAAAAGAAAAAATAATCTATCAGGTCAACCTCCACGCGGTTCCCGCTGGACACCATCGTGGTTAATAAAGAAAAACGGCAGCCTCGAGCGTCGCAAACTTACTAAGAGAATAGTTTTGATTCTTGTTGACAATTAAAGGGTTTATTGACAATCAACCCTAATTGCCTTCTGTCACGTGTCGCGATATCTACAACAAGTAAACCCATTATAACATGGTCTATATCATTAATTGTTATTTAATCGTAAAATAATAGCATTATTTAACCCATTTGTATGTTATAATCTCTTTAAAATGTATATTTAAGTGTATATCTACATGTAATATAAAAATAAATCACTGAATGTGTTGCTAAGCGCAAATCTCGAGAACAGCTGAACCGATTTCGCTAATTCTTTTTTTAGAATATTCCTTCAAGTACGAGGATGGTTATTACGGATAGAAAATTTAAAAAAATCCCTGAAAACGTCTAAAAACTACACTTTCCTATACTGGGAGTATATAAAAACGATTCGTTATAATTAAAAGTACCCGTAACCGGCGAGCTTGTATGAAAAGATTGATGAATGTGGAGGAAGCGAAAGAGGTTTGTTTGAATCGAAGCATTTGGCGTTCCATTGTTTCTGCCTACCCTAATGGCAGACAGGCGTGACAGATATGTATGTATGTATGTATGTATGTATGTATGTATGTAATAATACTTAAAAGTCAATTTGAACTTTGATACCGTACCATAAAGTTCAAGTGACATAATGTAATTGTTAACTTAGTAACTTTCTTTTTTCTTTTTTTTTTTTATCGTACTAGCTGACCCGGCGTCCCAATTAGCAGAATAAATATTAAAAAAAAACTAAAAAATTAAAGAATCGACTGTTAGGTAGTACGAAGTTCGCGGAG